TATTAATGCCCTTATCTGCGTCAACAAATACTGCATTAGCATCCTCCTCGATACCAATTAGTAAGACATTTAAATATCTGGGAATTCAGATCTTTCCATCAATGCAGACTATCTCTAAAGAAAATTATAGATCTTTATTTACTACTATCAAACAAGATTTACAGAGATGGGACGTTATTTTAGCCTCACGGCAAGGCAGAATCGCAATCATTAAAATTAATATTCTCCCTCGACTTTTATTTCTATTCTCCATGATTCCTTTATCTCCCCGTATAACCTTTTTTTAAAGAAATGTATTCCTTGATTACAAAAATCCTCTGGAATAAGAAACGACCAAGAATTAAACTCTCAACATTGCAGAGAAGATCTGACAAAGGAGGCTTGTCACTTCCGAACTTACAATTGTACTTTTGCAATTGCAAGGGGCGTGTCTGTATGTCATTACCTGATCCGCTCCAGCTGTTCATCATTACATCACCAGCTGCAGTTGATCTCACCACGCTACTTATACTCACCGCTGTTCTCTCATCCTTGTTAGAACGTTGTTTGATGTATCCCTGTCTGGTCTTCTGGTTCGTGTTCCTGCCTGGTGTTCCTGTTCGTCGTCTTCCGTGTGGATTTAGTTCGTCTCACCGTCTGTCTGCACTTCACCGGATCTGACCATCGAAGTCCCTGCGTCACCATTCTTCCACCTGGCTTTACTGTGTCTTGGACTTTGTGCTCAAATAAATTGTTAACTCGCTTTTGCTTCCTGTGATCAGTATATCATGACAGAACGATCTGACCATGGAATGGAAGCAGCGAGCGCATCTTCATCCTCGTTGGAAGAATTCATTCATCACAGTATCCGAAGAATGGATTCACAGGAAAAGGAGATCGGCGATACGGGTCGAGCAGTACAAGCCCTGGTGACGCAGGTGTCCGAGCTCACCCAGCAGATCCAGCGCCTACGACCTCCCACTGCGCCACCCACACCAGCCGTTCCCCCGTACCACCAGGAAGCCCCTCCCAGTCGGAACCCCGGCTACCTGTTCCAGAGGCCTATTCAGGTGAACCATCACACTGCAGAGCATTTCTTACCCGATGTTCAATGCATTTTGCACTTCAACCTCGTACTTTCCAGAACTATCAGGCCAAGGTGGCGTTCGTGTTGACACTGTTGACTGGGAGAGCGGCGCTTTGGGGAACGGCGGTGTGGGAGAACCAGAACCCATGCTGCACCTCGTTCCAGACACTAGCCGCCGAAATGAGACAGGTCTTTGACCGGGCGGTCTCGGGGAGAGAGGCGGCCAGAGCATTGGCCGAACTACGGCAAGGAGAGAAATCGGTTTCCGATTTTTCTATCGAATTCTGGACTTTGGCGGCGGAGTGTGGATGGAACGAGGAGGCGTAGTGGGACATGTTCCTGCATGGGATGGCTGACCACGTCCAGAAGGAGATCTACGCCCTGGATCTTCCCACCACCCTCACTGGACTTATTGAGTTAGCTCTGCGGGTGGACGCTCGGTTGTCCAGAGTCGAGCGTCGAGTTACGTCCACCCGCACACTCGGGGTTTTCGACGGTCCACGATCCAGCGGCAGGGACGTGGTCAGCCCCGTCTACGATCACGAGCCCATGCAGGTGGGTCGAGCTCGGCTTTCCCGGGAGGAGAGGGAGAGGCGGATGTCCCAGGGCCTTTGCCTTTATTGTGGAGGAGCCGGACACTATGCCTACAACTGTCCGGTAAAAGGCCAAGCCAGGAAGACCTCATCCACGACTAGATCGACCTCCACTCTCCTCTCGGTAAGACTAAGATGGTGAGTCCACCAGCACGATTGTCAAGCACTGTTGGATTCTGGGGCCGAAGGTAATTTTATGGACCATAATTTCGCATGCAGATTTCAGATACCCCTCAAACCCCTCACTCAGCAGATTGCAGTTCATGCACTTAATGGTCAAGAACTTCCTACTATTTCATTATCCACTGAAGAAATCACTCTCATCACCTCTGGCAACCACACGGAAACTATTTCATTTTTTATTCTGGATTCATCCCTGGCACCTGTTGTTCTTGGACACCCATGGCTCATCCAACACAACCCCCGAGTGGACTGGATTCATAGATCTGTGCTGGAGTGGAGCCAGGAATGTCATAAGTCTTGTCTCGTGTCTGCTTGTTCGTCTGTACCTGTTTCTGTGTTTCAGGAGGAAGCAGGGGATTTGTCTAACGTGCCCGCGGAGTATCTGGACCTGAAGGAAGTGTTCAGTAAGTCTCGTGCTGCTTCTCTTCATCCGCATCGTCCCTACGACTGTGCAATAGATTTACTGCCAGGTAAGTCTCCGCCTAAGGGCAAGTTATATTCACTTTCGATTCCCGAAAGAGAGGCTATGGAGAAATACACTCACCGGCCACTTTATTAGGTACCCCATGCTAGTAACGGGTTGGACCCCCTTTTGCCTTCAGAACTGCCTCAATTCTTCGTGGCATAGATTCAACAAGGTGCTGGAAGCATTCCTCAGGGAGTTTGGTCCATATTGACATGATGGCATCACACAGTTGCCGCAGATTTGTCGGCTGCACATCCATGATGCGAATCTCCCGTTCCACCACATCCCAAAGATGCTCTATTGGGTTGAGATCTGGTGACTGTGGAGGCCATTTTAGTACAGTGAACTCATTGTCATGTTCAAGAAACCAATTTGAAATGATTAGAGCTTTGTGACATGGTGGAAGTAGCCATCAGAGGATGGGTACATGGTGGCCATAAAGGGATGGACATGGTCAGAAACAATGCTCAGGTAGGCCGTGGCATTTAAACGATGCCCAATTGGCACTAAGGGGCCTAAAGTGTGCCAGGAAAACATCCCCCACACCATTACACCACCACCACCAGCCTGCACAGTGGTAACAAGGCATGATGGTTCCATGTTCTCATTCTGTTTACGCCAAATTCTGACTCTAACATCTGAATGTCTCAACAGAAATCGAGATTCATCAGACCAGGCAACATTTTTCCAGTCTTCAACTGTTCAATTTTGGTGAGCTCTTGCAAATTGTAGCCTCTTTTTCCTATTTGTAGTGGAGATGAGTGGTACCCGGTGGAGTCTTCTGCTGTTGTAGCCCATCCGCCTCAAGGTTGTGCGTGTTGTGGCTTCACAAATGTTTTGCTGCATACCTCGGTTGTAACGAGTGGTTATTTCAGTCACTGTTGCCCTTCTATCAGCTCGAACCAGTCTGGCCATTCTCCTCTGACCTCTGGCATCAACAAGGCATTTCCGCCCACAGAACTGCCGCTCACTGGATGTTTTTTCTTTTTCGGACCATTCTCTGTAAACCCTAGAGATGGTTGTGCGTGAAAATCCCAGTAGATTAGCAGTTTCTGAAATACTCAGACCAGCCCTTCTGGCACCAACAATCATGCCACGTTCAAAGTCACTCAAATCACCTTTCTTCCCCATACTGATGCTCGGTTTGAACTGCAGGAGATTGTCTTGACCATGTCTACATGCCTAAATGCACTGAGTTGCCGCCATGTGATTGGCTGCTTAGAAATTAAGTGTTAACGAGCAGTTGGACAGGTGTACCTAATAAAGTGGCCGGTGAGTGTATATTTCTGATTCTCAAACAACCAAGTTCATTCGCCCTTCCTCTTCTCCAACGGGGGCGGGGTTCTTTTTTGTGGGGAAGGATGGTTCACTGCGACCTTGCATTGATTACCGAGGGTTGAATAACATCACGGTAAAGAATACTTATCCTTTGCCGTTGATGTCTTCAGCCTTCGAGAGGTTGAGAGGGTATATGGGATTAATCCTGGACACCCATTTATCATTTGAAAGTCATGTAAAAAAAATCACTAGAACAGCCAGGGCAAACTTGTATAATTTTAGAGTCATCCGGGACTGTTTAACATTTCGTGCGGCAAATACATTTGAAGAAGTACGGAAGTCAGCTTGTTACCGGAAGTTCCCCAGCCCTGATCTCATCAGCATAACAGTGTCATTCAAATGCATAGATGCTAATCCAATCAGCCTGACAGTATCGCCCATACCTTCACATTATCATAGCTTAACTTGGGACAATGACACTGTTCAGGAGGTGCATAAAGACAAAATGTTAATGTCAGACACCTGGGTTGCTTGACTTAGGGGGCTTTCACACTGGCAGTTTAGTTCGGAACGGGGCACGGTTCCCATGAAAAATCGCTAATGTGAACGCTGTCATGGGACCCGGGTGCGCACTGAGGTACTGAACCCGAGACTACCTGGAGGAGGTGGTCTGAGTTTGGTTGCTCCCGAACCGTGCCGCGGTTCGCACGAATGTGAAAGCAGCACGGACTCGGGTGCGCACTTGTTCAGGAAGTAAAGTGACCTGCGCATGCGTTTTAGCTTATTGTGATGTATTCAGTTAAATAAAACACTTGTAAGGGATGATAGTGTTGATGATTTACCTTGGATACGAGCGAGAGTGAGCCTGCAGTGTATTTTGAAATCCACTGTCTCCTCAAAGGTGTCCGTTTGCAAGCAGCAGAAGGCCACCTTATGTGACACACGCACAGTAAACCTGTATTGTTCACTCATCTGCGTATAATAGCAGCAAATTAATAAAAAACACAATATTGACCCACGTTCTGTTTTCTATCATGCGCCGTGCACGTTTGCGATGACGTAATATGCACGCAAATGCACCAGGGTTCGATATAATCAAGTTGAGTGTGAAACCAGACCAACGCTGCGGGGGGTGCCGGGAACAAACGCGCTCGGGCTCGGACCGCAGCAAACGAGCCCAGTGTAAAAGCCCCCTTAATCTTTGAATCTCATCATTTATACCTCAAAATGTAAAACACAATGTACAGAACTTTCTCAGTTTATATACTATTGTATTGGAACCTAGACGTAACATTTTATAAATTTGTAATACAACAGTACCTCCAATAAGAAACTTTGAAACATTAAAAAAAATTATGGCTATTGACCACTAGTTAAACTACTGATTAATTCAGGATTTATTAAAGAATTTTACCTGTCCTACAACTGGTTTCTGACAAGTGGAACAGTTTCCCTTCGAGGAGGTAGGCACTCCCTGTCTACTCAGATCTGATTGGAGGAGACCCAACATGCTGTCCAATGAGCCTCCAGAGGATGCAGGGGGTCGAGAAGCTGTTTGCTGTGGAGATGCCGCCACAGTTACTGCTGGCTGATACAAAAAAATAAACTCAATTACATAAAGAATATTAATATTTCAAAGTAAAGGTGAAGTGTAAATAAACTCTCTCCTATAGCTTGATTTACGTTGCGTGTCCCATGGCGTAGAATCAGTGCAGCAAAGTGAGCGTTTTCAATTCATTTTTATGGGAGTTGAGTTTCACACTCACATGGTGAATTGTGGGACTGACAGCGGACCGGAGAAAGCACTGAGAGCGGTAAAAAGTGTAAGAGTGTAAAAAGGTTGGGCAGTTCTTACTTTTTTATGCTGTATATCTTTACAGCATATCTTTACATTTAAAAACAAAGCTTGCCTCTTGGTAACTGTAATCCCTTGTATCTGTGATGATTATATTGTTTATATGACCATATGTGTTGGGAAAAAAAATTAAATTAAACACTCGCTAGTCGCTACAGACACACCCCATAGCAGAGACATTTGAGCATTTTCAGAGACACTGAGGAGTTTTTGCGCTCTAGTGAACATTCACTGTTATACTTGCTGTGTCTGCAAGTTTGGTTGGTTGTGCACAGCAAAAATTGTTATTGTGGAGTTGTGCATTGACTTTACATTTTTGTGCGGTTCTGCACATGCCATTATTTTCTAAACTTGAGCCAACAGTGCACGCACAAATAACGACTTCAAGGCAACATTGGCTGTTTTACGAGTTCACACTTTATAATCGGATAGAGTAAAGAGAGTAAACATATTTGGTGTGCTGTCCCAGGAGAGGGATTTGAGCTCGCAATTTGGCCTGAGCCCAGAACCATCAATGAAAGCAACAGTTCCCTTTCAGTCGATCACGTTCGATGCCACGTCGGAGTGATCCGACTGATAGGAATCTCGCTAGAGAGTCAATCTACTTTGAGTGTAACTCAACGAGCCAATGCATATCAGTACAAGGTCCTGCGTCTTCACCTTCAGCCCGTGGTCAGACCCCTTGTTTCTGCGGGTAGGAGTGCCCTTGGAACATGTGTGCAGGAATGCTGTGGTGTTCACAGATGCCTCTGCCACCGGCTGGGGTGCCACGTACAACGGGCATGGAGTGTCAGGGGTGTGGACGGGCCCCCAACTGCATTGGCATATCAACTGATTCCCAGAACTCATGCTCCTCATGACAGCCCCTCCCTGGCCCCTTCCTCTGAGGAAGGACCTTCTTTCTCAGAGATGGGGCACCCAATGGCACCCACGTCCGGACCTCTGGAAACTCCATGTCTGGTCCCTGGTTCTAGGTGACTTACTCCCAGAGGTACTTAACACCATCACTTCGGCACGTGTGTACGCCTTAAAGTGGAACCTGTTTGTCGAGTTGTGACCAGTGTTGAGCATGTTACTTAAAAAAAGTAATTAGTTATAGTTACTAGTTACTTCTCACAAATAGTAACTGAGTTAGTAACTGAGTTACATCATTATAAAAGTAACTAATTACCAGAGAAAGTAACTATTGCGTTACTTAAAAAAAATAATAAAAAAAAATCAAATAGGCCTGTCAAATAATTTGGATGCCCCCAGTATTAAATATGTTAAATTAATGAAATGGACACTTAATAGTGTAGATTAGTGTTCAATGTTTTATAATAATAATTTATTCTATTTTAATGTTGCTGTGGGACAATGTGAGAGACGCCTATTAAATTCAATATATTATTCTAAATATTAGCATTACTATAGTAGAACAATAAAACATTATAGATGGTTTACTTAATATCGCACAGACCCCAACTGGCCAACAAATAAGTTTAAAAATAAATTATGCTTCTTAAGAAATGTACCAAAAATGAATAAATAATAATAAAAAATATGCATACTCTTTGTGCATATTAAAATGATAAAACTGTTACACAACTTCACAACTAGTAGACATACTGTAGCCTGAGTATTTTCTTCCTAACAAAAGTAAACAGTTTAACAAGTGCTCTCTCAATATAATACTGAACAATTTACCAAAAAAAAAATATATAATACTAAAATATAATATTTTTATAATAGCGAACGTTATCATCAGAGATTATTTAAGCCAAATTCTAGACATGTTTGCCGCACGTGTTTACAACCGGTCAAACAAATAGCCTATGTTTTCTGTGAATGTTCCCTGCAGGTTATTTTCGGGTTTATTTTATAACCTAAACAGAACGTTACCTGACGGTAATTTTTTAGATTTTACTTGTATAACCCTGTAAATTAATTAACGTTGCAGATATGTGTCATTTATTTATAAACAAACTATATAATGCTCGGACACCCTCGGTCTCTCTTGCGCAACTGTTGAGCGCGCTCTCGGACACATTCGGTCTCTCTCGCGCATTGAGCGCGCTCGCGCCAATCGCTTCGCTTTTGTCCACTCCGGCGCCTCATAAACACACACACACACACACACCAGAGAAAAAAACTTTGCAGGTCCTATGGCGGAGAGAGAGCCTACTCGGATGAAAGCCGCGTCAGTGAGTTCAATTATAGTAACGCCACATTTTTTTTTGTCAGTAACGGTAACTGCGTTGTAACGGGGGAAACAGTAAATCGTTTGATTACTCGTTACTGAAAAAGATAACGCCGTTAGTAACGCCGTTTATTTATAACGCCGTTATTCCCATCACTGGTTGTGACCCCTGAAGATGTTCGATAGGGTCAGAGCGAGCTGTCTCCCTCCAACCTCAAAGTACATGCTGCCACTATTTCACCATATCACGACCAAATAGATGGCAAATCAGTAGGGAAGCATGACCTGGTCATCAGGTTCCTTAGGGAGGGTGAAACGATAAAATCCTCCTCGGCCCCCTTCCACAGGCACGTGCACACATAGACATCAAAAGGGGCTTGAGCACCTGCCCTTTTTATCCCTGGAGAGAAAGTGCCCTTTTTTCTGGGGTGCTTTTTTTTTTATTTTTGAAAAATAATATATATTCCTGTTTAGGCACAGCTTCCCTGTCAAACAAATATATTTATTGAATGGTGTATCTAAATATCAGGTCAGGAGTTGAAGTTCTGAAGCGCTCCCTCTCTGAAGCGCCGATCAGAATAAACGCGTCTGCTCTAGTGAGCTCGCGCTGCGCTGCCGTTTGGACTTTGAGCCGAGCGGATAAACAGTCTGTGAGGCGCGTGCGGTTCAAATGAGTTTCGTTCCGCTTTTGGCACATAAACATTATCGAACATTTATCGAACTCGATATTGATATCGAGTATTGACTCGATATTGATATCGAGTATTGACTCGATATTGATATCGAGTATTGACGATATTGACTCGAACTTGATATCGTTTTATTGAGAAAAATTATATCGCGATAATGAATGAATGAGCATATCAATTTAAGACGTGGCTATGGCTAAATGTAATTTATGACCTTGTATGGAAAATCCGGACGTTTTTATGACTTTTTATGGCCTAAAATTCTTATTATTAAAGTTAATGACTTACATACATCAAGAGTCTTTCCCCCTGAAATGTAGAAATCTAAACTGGTGAATTTAGAAGAAATCTACAGATGCAAACAGATGGAGGATAGTAGGTTTAAAACAAACTCCATCTAAATGTGGATTTTGAAGCTTTTATTTGATGATGATGATGATGATACAGTCCTCCCTCAAATGTGAAACTAAGTCCATGTCACCATCAGGTGTATCAAATATATACTTGATTGAAACTAGTAGCATAGAAAACATGCACATTGTGGCATGGTTTCCTTTGCTGCTCTATAAACCTATGAATACTAAGGAGACCATGGTTTCTGTGTGAACTGATTATTTTGTAGACATCTTTTGAAAATGAAACAATTGCCTGAGTTTGAGGAAGATAAAATTAATTAATTTTTTTAATAATTTTTTTTAAAAGTCAGAGTTGTGTTAATATACATACTTTTTTGTTTTAAAAAAAAGTAAAAAAAAAAACGTAATTATGAAAAGGGCCCTTTTTTTCACTTGAGCCCCTGCCCCTCAAAATGTCTGTGCATGTCCCTGCCCTTCCATACCCTCTTGGGACCTTGCCCTGGTGCTTTGAGCACTTCAGGATGCTCCCTTTGAGCCTTTGCAGTCAGCAGACCTAAAGCTTCTGTCCATGAAGACTTTGCTGCTGGTTGAACTGGCCTCTATCAAGAGGGTAGGGGACCTGCAGGCATTTTCGGTCGACGAATCGTGCCTAGAGTTCGGGTTCACTCCCTTCAGGGACCAGGAAGTGAACCTGCAAGCGCTGCCCCTGGAGGAGGCATGCCCAGCCCTGGCTTTGCTCTGTCCCGTTCACGTTCTGCGACTGTACGTGGACAGAACTGAAAGCCTCAGGACCTCAGACCAGCTCTTTGTCTGTTACGGAGGCCAGCAGAAGGGAAAGGTTGTCTCCAAGCAGAGGTTAGCTCACTGGATAGTGGATGCCATCGCCTTGGCTTACCACCCACAAGGCGTGCCCTGTCCGCTCAGGTTGCGTGCTCACTCTACGAGAGGCATTGCATCCTCCTGGGCGTTGGCACGTGGCGCCTCGCTAACATATCTGTAGAGCTGCGGGCTGGGCAACACCTAACACGTTCGCTAGGTTCTATAGCCTATGTGTAGAGCCGGTCTCCTCCCGTGTTCTCACCCTAAACGGGTAGAAGCACTGAGACGCCCGGCTCTGTCGGCTTGCTGCACCCTACTGTGCGCTTATATTGCTCCAGAGTGAAAAACCTGTTGAGTCATCCACCACCTTCGGAGCATCCGGCGCCAGGCCTTTATCTGTTGAATCCTTGAGAACCAGGTCTAGAATGGGTTCCATATGTGCAACCCTGCGGGGATCCCATATGTATATTCTTCCACGTTGCTCCTAAACAGAAGCCTTTGTCTTTCCCATGGGCTAAGTCACCCAGTATCTCATATGCAGTACAACCTTCAGGTTTGTCCATATGTATATCTCCACATAACTCCTTCTGGGAAGAATGTGGCTTCCGCAGCGTTCTCCTTTCTAACGGAAAGGGCACGCTTTCCCAGTGTTATCCAATAGTCTTGCTGTATGGGTTACCACGGAACAAC